GAAAGCTCTAAATGTTCACCATCACTGTATTCATTGGAAACGTTGTGTAGTATATATGGTAAAGCCAGTTAATCCCGCGGGCATGACCACATTGTGTACTTCTGCTGTGAAATGAGCTCCTTGAATAGTAGGTATAGTGCTGTGTAGAATGACATTCTATGAAGGTACTGTGGGTGTTTCTAGCAGTGGTGTGCAAGCAGAAGCATTGGGGGCAAATTCATAACCAGAATATCACAAGGGAATCCATTATGGAAGAAGACCAGAAAAATCAATCTGCTGCCCACCCCTACCCCCCAGCCCCATGATGGCATATTGGGAGCACAATTTTGGACTCAGTGCTGGCATATTTGATATTTAGCAATAGCGTAGGTCCATTTTGGCAAGGTCTACTTTTTGTTTCTCTCCTCTGTAATTGGCTATATTTTATAGTTGATGTGCCTGCCTAGTCTCTGATGGTAAAGTGTTGCTGGGTAAGCTTGTACTACTTTAGGAAGTATCATCATCCCATTGAAATCAGAAAGCCCATCTCAGCCATTGCGTCCTCCCAGTCATAGCTCCCTTACAGGGACAGTGACCACAGAACTTTGAAAAGATTGTAGATAGTCCCTCACAAATAGCTTTCTTAATGTCTCAGTAAAGGGAGTGTCTTCTTAGCTCTACTATGGAACAAAAGTGGGAGGTTGGTGTATAGGTGATAAATCCAGCCCAACATTCCTGTATCTCTAAGCCTTTAGATTCCTCCTCTTATTCTGTTACAAAAACAGTTTATAAATGTACACATATAGATAGGTTATGGTTTGGTTCTAGATGTCCTCCTAGAGCCTTAGGCGGTCACAGGTGACTTTTTCACAGGTGGCTGAATCTGGATTGTGTGATGCTGGAATTAAGGGCATGTGATTACTAAACCAGTACACTGATTGGGTTTGTTATTGCCCTAATCCCAGGAGTCTGGATAAGAAAAAAGGGGTAAAAAGACACTGTTAAGGTCCCTTGTTGCTTTTGATACCTTCTGTCCACCATGAACTGTTGCATGTACCATGCGGCCATAAAGTGAACTGATTATGGACTAAAACCTCTACAAACTGAGCTAAATAAATCTTTTCCCCTCTAACTTTAGTTGTTGGATTTTTTTTTTTTTTTTTTTTTTTTTTTTGGGG